AAGGCAGAGGAGCCGAACCAGCAAACCTTCATCTACTTTGCCAATAAGTGAGCCCTATGCTGATCCCCATGAGGACAGGGCAGTGGAAGACCGTGGCCCGTGGCCTCAGACTTGGGTTTGAAACCCAGCTCGGCTGCTCCCTGGCATGGTGACTGAGCAAGGTGCTAACATCTGAGCTTCCGTTTCTCTCTGGAAAAATAGGATGTCGTATTGGCCAGGGTGAGGATGAGAGGCAGGCAGACGTGTCCGAGTGCACGGCGGGGGCTGGCAGTGGCCGCAGCTGGCTTTCATGTGCTCTTCCCAGAGCACCCATCTCCTTTGGTCGCCTCTCACAGGCTGGTTCAAGTTCTTAGTTTCCCTCAGAGAACCGTTCACCCAGTCTCCCCGGCCCCATCTTCGTCCCCACCCAAGACTTCTTGGCCCGACACCCAGCACCCAGCAAAGTTCAGCCAGCGTGTAAGGTCAAATGCCTATGGAGACCAGGCATGTTTGAAGGAGACAGATCAGCGGGATTTTTAAGTGACATCTTCCCCTTAAATTTTTTTTGAATTTCCATTAAATCTTCAAATTTTCTTAACTTTTAATCTTGAGATCATTCAGACTTGCCCTCCCAAAGTTGCAAAAATGGTACAAGAGTTCCCGTTTGCCTTTTACCCATGCTTCCCCAAACGTTCACATCTTACATAACTGTCATGCGATGATCAAAACTGGGGAAGTGGCGTTCTGCGATACTCCGGGCCAGTCTGCAGAGCTCACTCAAGTCTCACGTGTCCTTTTCCTGACCCAGGGTCTTACCGGACTTACCTGTCATGTTTCTTTAGTCTCCTCCCATCTGGGGCAGCCCCTCAATCTTTCCCATCCTCTCTGACCGTAGCACGTTTGGCCACGGCTGGCCAGTTATGTCATAGAGTGGCTCTCAGTTTGCTCTTGCTTCGTGTTTTCTCATGCTTAGACTAGGGTCGTACGTTTGAGGCCAGAGCCCCACAGAAGTGACGGCACGGCCTCCTCAGCGCAGCATATCCAGAAGCACGTGGTACTCACACGGCTTGCTCCCGGTAATGTCCACTTCCCCCCTTGGTTAAGGTGGTGTCTGCACCGTCTTAAATTTCTCCAATAGAAAGTTACTCTTTTTGCCTTTGTAATTAGTAGGTATTTTATGGGGAGGTACTTTGAGGGTACGTAAGTAGCTTGTTCCTCATCACATTTTTTTAGAGGATTTTGCCTTAGAGTACATGCGCTTACCAGAGAGAGAGAAAGAGACAGAGACAGTGAGAGGGAAAGTGAGAAATCTCCCTCCAGGAGGGATGGTATGCTGCAATCCCTTCTCCTCCATTCTGTTCCTGGGATCTTGGGCACGCATGCACATGCGCCGGGTGTGATTTTCAAGCCACTGGGTTGGGGTCTTGAGTCGTTGTCGACCATGTATGAGTCCAGTGATGGAACTGCTCCGCCACCTGCCACCCCCCCATCAAACTTTTGATCGGTCCGCTTGTTTATTTAATCTACATAGTCATGGCTTAGGTTACACAACGGGCTGTAACCTATGGCTGTCATTATTTATTTCTTATGGTGCTCACATTAGCCCTTCTCTGTCCCCTCGGAGCCACCCTTTGAGCTGGCTACTTATCCTTTAACATGCCGCTTCGTTCTGGGAGTACCGTCCTGATTTCAGATACTCCAGATTCGTTCTCCTTGCCCACCCGTAGAGTTCGCCGTTTCCCTGAGGAACTGACTCCTCCGAGTAGAGCGTGATGCACGGAAGCTAATGGTGCTAGCCGCATTCAGTCCACGGGGCTGCCACGACTCCTAAACGTGACCCGTGGAGAGCTAGGAAACATCCGTGTCTGTGGTGTGTGCGTGCGTGCACCCTGCTCTGGGTGTTGTCTGTGTATGTGAGTTCTCATCAGCCCTGCTGTTCCCACGTGTTAGCGTCCCCCTTCCCCAGTAATGAGGCACCGTCCCCTTGTCCTCGCTAGGGATACATGCTCAGTCCCCGCTAGATGACAGCGCCACCTCTTTCCTCCCACCCTTGCTGGACTCTGATGTCCTGTTCTGGGCCATCCCACCTCCTCCCCCTGAGCAGCCTCCAACTTCCCACTGAACTCCCAGTTTCATGATGATTCGTATTTTTAAGCTGTGAGGCCCAGTTTCTGCCTGGGGCCCTGGCAGTAGGCCTGGACCAGAAAGCGGGTTTCTCAGCTTCCTGGCGTATCCTGAGGCCCAGGGCCCTGCTGGCTACTCACTTTCCAGCTAGAAGGAAACTATTTTTTAAAGAGAGATTTTCGCTATAGGGCGTGTGCACTCACTGGAGAGATAGAGACAGACAGAAAGCAAGAACTGAGACCTCCCCCAACCCCCCGGGAGGGGGTTGGCCACACTGCAGTCCCTTCTCCTCCATTCTCCTCTCGGGAGTTTGGGCACGCACGCACACGCACATTGGTGTGAGTTTCAAGCCTTTGGGTCCAGGACTTGAACTGCGGTCAGTCAGGTGGGAGGCCAGCCACATAACCATTATGCCATCTGCTGGTCCTGGGAATTCTTACTTTACAGCAAGAGATGAAGGTTTCCTGCAGGCCCAAGACCAGGTTGGGCAGAGTGAGGAGACCCTTCCTCTTGTTCCCTTGTACCCTTGTCCCCCCACACCTCTGGCTGCCTGTCACTTGTTTGCCTGGTCTCCTTAGGAGAACCCACATGCCCCCACCCTGGCCAGGGGTGACCTTTCTAAGACAGAGGCCGAGTGCATTCCTCCTAGGCTCCCACGGCTTCTCAGCTGAGGCGGTCACTGGCTGGGCCCAGGCCTCACCTGACTGACAGGCGACTCTCGTCTGCCCTGCAGTGATGCTCCCATTTGAGAATTTGGGGACATCTGGGTACAGCTCCAGATGTTTGGATCAGCAGGTGGTGTGGTGGTTAAAGTTCAAATCCTGGGCCCCACGGCTTGAAAAACTTGCCGGGCATGTGTGTGTGCACCCCAGATCCTGAGAGGTGAATGGAGAGAAGATCGTGGCCCATCTCCCGGGTGGGGGCGTACTCTCTCGCTTTCCCTCTCTCTTCCTCTCTCTTGCTGTCTCTCTCCAGTGAGTGCATGAGCCCGACAGCAAATTTCTTAAAAAGAGATTTTGAGAGAGACCGCACTCGCATAACTTTGGTGACAGTACTTATAAACATTCCGTGTATTGCTTGTTGATCTCTCCCTGTGCTCCATTCGTAAGTTAAGCTCTCTCAGGGGGACGGTCAGGAGACCACATGGGGTGCGTAGGGTTAGGATATAGAGGCTTCGGTATTACCGTGTGTTCACCGTGGTTCAGGCACCGCGGGGTTCTGGAAAGGTGTCCCCTGTGGATTGTGGGGTAAGAGGTTCTGTGATCGCATCAGCCAGTGCTCACGCGCAGTTCCTGGGTGCCGGGCACTCGGGCGCCTGGCCATCACTGTGCGGTGGTCACTGCTGTCTCCCCGTTTTACAAACAAAGGAACCGAGGCCCAGGGGCCAAGTAGGTGACAGGCAGGGGTCACATAGTGGTGGGCTCACCGTGGAGCCAGGCGTCCTGATCCTGCCACGCTTGTCCCTCCGCCCCCCCTCTCAGCATGAAGGCCTCGTGCTCTCAGAGCAGGGATCGGGCGATATGGAGAGGGAAGTGTGGGGACCCTGGTGCGCCACGCCCCGGCCCAGCCAGAGCACAGGAGACTGGGAGCGGAGCAGGCAGCAGGGAAAGTGGTGCCTTTGAACCTGGCAGGGACCTCTCCTGCCTGACGTCTTAGGAAACAAATGACACATTTCACGTGTACCGAGGCTGAGCACACGGCGTCCGGCGTCAGCCCTGACGCAAGCTTTCCCCCTCGTTGCACTGGGCTCAGCAGGGCGCCCGGCTTTCCCAATCACTAAAGAGGAACCGCACGCTGACCTGTCACCCAAGGGTGAGGGCAAGGGGAGAGCCCCTCGCCTAGTCAGCTCAGCCCCAGAGCCTGGGAATGCCACACGGACCAGGCCGTGTGGACGCAACTCCACTGTGTGTGCGCTCACGGTCCTGTCAAGGGAAGCGACGTCCAGTGGCTGGCTGCCTCCCCCACACACTCGGCTTCGGGACCCACAGACACTCCTGACTGAGCTCAGCAGGCGTGGGGGTTGGTGGTAGCCACAGTTTTACAGATGAGGAGACTGAGGCTCAGAGAGACGTCATTTGCCTCAGGTCGCACAGTGAGGAGGAGGACAGTTGAGATTTGAACTGAGGCAGTCAGTTTCCAGGGCCTTAACCTTTTTGTTTTAGGTTTTTGTCGTAGGGCACAGACGCTGGCTGGAGAGAGACAGTGAAAGACAGAGAGAGGAAACGTGAGGACTCACCCCTCCCTCCGGGGGGACGGCCACACCGCAGCCCCTTCTCCTCCATTCTCTCAGGATTTGGGGCATGCACTCACATGCATCTGGCATGATTTTCAAGCCACTGGGTCTGAGACTCAAACCATGGTCAGCCATGTGGGAATCCAGCCCTTTAACCACCACGCCACCCGTTGGCCCTGGGGTGGGATGGAGTATTTAGATCTTAAATAGCCGGTAGCAAAGCAGAGCCAGAATTAAGCCCATATTTTCCTGATTCTAAAAGCCCGACTTATTCCATCCCGCCACACGACTTCCCTGCGCTCGTGGGGCCCCCAGGAAAGAAAGGCGTCTGTCGGCCGCAGGAGAGGAAAAGCGTGGGAAACGGGAGCCAGCGCTGTCATGGCCGACGCCGAGCCTGTGGGCTCCGGGAGGCGTTTTACCCTGACCTCATGTCTTCGCGTTGAGAACGGGCAGCAGGATCCGGGAGGAGGAGGGATGGAGACAGGAGGAGGTGGAGGCAGGGAAGGGGAGCGGGGGTGCCGGGGTGCCCCGAGCAAGCACGCAGTATGGCCATACGCTTCGACAAAGACTGCATTTCCCCGTTTCCTGTGGCGTCAGGTGTTCGGCTCCGTCCACGGCTGTTTACCCGTGTCTGATGTGTCAGTCCCACGGTCGCGTTTGGAGCCACGGCCAAGCTCACTACCTAGCAAGGTTCACGTCCTGGAGGAGATGGTGCTCGGATGCGGGGAGACCCACGGGAAGTGACAGCGGATGTAAGAGTGGCCAAGGTCGTTTGTAATGGCCTTGAGTAGTACGTGTTAGGATGAGGTGTGGCGAGGACACATTCTCAGGACCCCAGCACTGTGCTGGGCGGGGTGGGGTTCCATCAGAGAGGGCTCCAGCAAGGCCCATCTATGGGGCGCTGCCGAAGAGTGCGAAGATCTGGTCTGGGAAGCCCTGCGTGGGCGCGGCCAGCACCATGCCCGCCCTTGAGCCCACCCCGGTGGCCACCTCACCCGGCTCCCTTTCTCTCCGCAGGTTTGACATCTACAGGAAGGTGCCCAAGGACCTCACGCAGCCTACGTACACCGGGGCCATCAGTGAGTAGCCGTCCTCTGACCGGGACCCACCCTGCGCCCCGCTGCCTGTGCTGTGCTCCTCCCGCGGACCTTCTGGGCCGGGACGGGGAAGCGGAGATGCTGAGCTTGCCAGGCCCTTCCCACACGCTCTTGTTTAGCCTCTGCCCCAACCGTAACCCTGCGAGGCATAGGCACCGTCCGTTTCTGGAAGGATGTACAGGAAATGGCCAACTGTAGGTGCCCCTGGAGAGGACATCTGGGTTACAGGGTGGGAGGGAGACTTACTTTTCTCTTCAGCCATTGAAACTATTTGAGGGGCTGGCAGGTGGTGTGGTGGTTAAGGGGCTAGATTCTTACCAACTGCAGTTCGAGTCCTGGACCTGGTGTCTTGCTTCCTCATTTTCCCTCCCTCTCTGTCTCTCTGGTCAAGTTAAAAAATAATAATCGGGACCAGCAGTTGGAGTAATGGCTATGTCACTGGACTCCCATGTAGTCAACCGCAGTTCAAGTCCTGGAACCGGTGACTTAAGCTCACACCGGGCGCGTGTGCGTGCATGCCCAAGATCCCGAGAGGAGAATGGAGGAGAAGGGATTGCGGTGTGGCCATCCCCCCTGGGGGGTGATTTGTCGCTTTCTTTATCTATGCCTCTCTCTGTCTTTCTGGCAATCTCGCGCGCCATATAGCAAAAACCTCTCCAAAAAATAATGATGATGATGGTGAATAAAATTAAATAATTAAAAAAGAAAAATAAAATCAGGGACCAGTAGGTGTCGTGGTGGTTAAGGTGCTGGACTCTCACATGGCTGACTTGGGTTTGAGTCCTGAACCTGGAGTCTTGCTTTTTCTCACTTTCTCTCTCTCTCTCTGTCTCTCTTTAGTGAGTGCATGTGCCCTATAGCAAATTAAATAAAAATAATAATAATACTGAATAAAATTAAATAAATAATTCTAAACAAAATTAGTCTCCCCCAGATTTTGATTTCAAAAGACACAAGCGATGACAAGTGGCCACGATGGCGGGTGTCCACTCACTGTGACCGGGTCACTGCACGTTGTGTTCTGGTGCCCAGGTTGCGTTGTGGCCACACATACACACACTTACACGTCGGTAAGTATTTACAAAGGGATGGCTCTGTGCTGCACACACGCCGAACCCCACAGTCAAGTGCAGGCCCAGTCGGCCGGAGGTACCCAGGCATGTGCGCGAGCGCCCGGGGTCTGACGGGCTGGAGGACCGGGGAAGTGGGTCACAGCATGCCCAGACCATGTGGAGGGTGCTTCCTGCTGTCTTCTCTCTGTCTGTCTCTCTGTCTCTCACACACACACACCTATGCATGCACCCTATCCTGAATAAAGAAAAGAAACATTTTTGGTTTTTGTTTTAATCTGCTGTAGGATACATCAGTTGCGAGACAGAGAGAGAGGGAAGGAAAGTGAAAACTCACCCCTCGGGAGATGGCCATGCCGCAGTTCCTCCTCCTCTGTTCTCCCGGGATTTTAGACGGGCGCGCACGTGCACCTGGAGCGTTTTCGAGCCTCTGGGTCTGGACGAAGTGTGCTGCTGGCCATGTAAGATTTAGCTGCCTTAGCCACTATGCCACCTGGCTGGTCCAACGGGAAGCAGTTTGTTAAAGAAAGACTTCCGCTAAAACAATACAGTCAAGGCCATTTCTCAGTAGAGGAGCTAGGCCTTCCTGGCGACGTGCCTGACTGGGCGTGGCAGGTGGACAGAGTGAGCCGAGGGCCTGGGAGGCCGCAGGGCCTGGAGACCAAAGCAAAGAAATGAGTAATGACATGATTGGCTTAGAACCCCAAGAATTAAGAAAAAGGGAAAAAGGTCCAGGAGTCCACATGATATAAATAGATGGAGTGAAGAAGAATTCTTCCCTTATAGAAGAATTCCGAGTGGTATAATATGTAGGTACGGTCATCCCAGCATTCAAAGGTGTTACGAATAGTCATTATGCTGAATTTTTTCTCCTCTTTTTAAATTGCCAGAGGGGTGGTCACTCACCAGAAAGAGGGAGAGGGAGAGAGCAGCTCCCCGTGGGGCACGGTCAGGCCACACTCCCTTTCCCTGTCCTGTTGAGACCGGGGGCATGGCACACAGCAGACACTCCCGGCATGTTTTTCAGACATCTGGGGCAAGGCGTGATCTGGCGGTTGACCATGTGGGATCCATCCCCCGTAACCACTCGGCTATGGAGCTGGCCCCTACTGTGTATATATATATATTTTATTGTTGTTATTTTTGCTGGTTGAGTGTTTTTAAAAACATATTTTCAGTCCGCAGGTGGCTGAGTCCGCAGACGCGGATATGTGGATACAGAGTCCGGCTGCACTCTCCCATCCAGGAGGAGGACTTTAATTCCCCTCCTTTTGAGCGTGGGCTGGGCCTAGGGACTTAGGGACTCATTGCCAGAGAATGGAGAATAGGAAGGGAAGATGGTAAATCCATGGGGGGAAACCGGCACCTTAACCAAGGGACGGAGTCACCAGTGACAGGCCATGGGCTGTCGTGTGCCCTATACAACGTGTGGGCCCCTGTGGGGTCTCACCCCCATAGACACAACCCAATCCATCACGAGAAAGCGTCGCCCTCCCAGACCGGGGACAGCCCGTAGGTACTGAGCCCACCTCTGTGAAAGCAAGGCCTGAACATGGAGGAGAGACAGATCCATCGTAGAGACGGAGGGCCGGGTGACCGAAGGCAGAGTGGGCTCCTGTCGTGCGGATGCGGGGGAAACCCGAGGCCTGAACATGGAGGAGAGACTGAGATCCATCTTAGAGACTGAGGGCCGGGTGACCAAATGCAGAGTGGGCTCCTGTTGTGGGGATGCGGGGGAAACCCGAGGCCTGAACATGGAGGAGAGACTGAGATCCATCGTAGAGACGGAGGGCCGGGTGACCGAAGGCAGAGTGGGCTCCTGTCTGGGGGATGCGGGGGAAACCCGAGGCCTGAACATGGAGGAGAGACTGAGATCCATCTTAGAGACTGAGGGCCGGGTGACCAAATGCAGAGTGGGCTCCTGTTGTGGGGATGCGGGGGAAACCCGAGGCCTGAACATGGAGGAGAGACTGAGATCCATCGTAGAGACGGAGGGCCGGGTGACCGGCTCGTGTCTGGGCGATGCGGTGTAAACCCGAGGCCTGAACATGGAGGAGAGACTGAGATCCATCTTAGAGATGGAGGGCCAGGTGACCGAAGGCAGAGTAGGCTCCTGTCGGGGGGATGCGGGGGAAACCCGAGGCCTGAACATGGAGGAGAGACTGAGAACCATCGTAGAGACGGAGGGCCGGGTGACCGAAGGCAGAGTGGGCTCCTGTCGGGGGGATGCGGGGGAAACCCGAGGCCTGAACATGGAGGAGAGACTGAGATCCATCTTAGAGATGGAGGGCCAGGTGACCGAAGGCAGAGTAGGCTCCTGTCGGGGGGATGCGGGGGAAACCCGAGGCCTGAACATGGAGGAGAGACTGAGATCCATCTTAGAGATGGAGGGCCAGGTGACCGAAGGCAGAGTAGGCTCCTGTCGGGGGGATGCGGGGGAAACCCGAGTAAAGCCCGCAGCTTAGTGACTGGCACTGTGTGTGGATTTCTTCGGTTGACAAATGTACTGTGGTCACGTGACACGTTAGCATAGGGGACAGGGTGAGGGTGTGTGGGAACTCACGGTGCTGCCCTTGCATCTGTTATTATTACACAGTAAACGTGTGTGTTAGAAAACAAACCAGGGGCCAGTAGGAGGCATAGTGGTTAAGGCACTGGACTCCCATGTGGTTGACCATGGTTCGAGTCCCAGATCTGGTGGCTTAGAATTCATGCGAGGCTTTTGTGCATGTGCATGCCCAAAATCCTGAGAGGAACGTGGAGAAGGGATTGTGGCGTGGCCATCCCCCCGGGGAGTGATTTCTTGCTTTCTCTCTGTCTCTCCAGCGAGCACATGTGCCCTATAGAAGACAATTTCTCTAAAAAAAAAAAAAAAAGAAAGAAAGAAAGAAAGAAAAGGAAAACAAACCAAGGCCAGCCCCATGGCACTGCAGTCATGTGCTGCTCCAGAGAGGCTGGATCCCACGTGGCAGCCATGGTTCGAATCCCTGGCCTGATCTACCTGAGATGCCCCAGGCACACACCCAGTGCCCAATACCCGACTGGCCAGAGGCCCGCAGGGCGGGGATGGTGGCGTGCCCGGCCCTGTGAAGGGTGCTCCCCTCTCTCTGTCTCTTTCTCTCACACACACTCACAGTCTCAGGCACGTGTGCACACTGTGCCAGCCCTGCTGCCTGAGCAAGGTAGAGGATGGGCAGTCAGCATGCGGGTCCCTCACCTCCGCTCAGCTGTGCCCTCCCAGCCCTCCCTCCAGCTTGACTTGTTGGAGCTGCAGAGGCCTCTTTAAAGCCTGGGGTAGCTGGACCGATGGCACGTAGGCTCTCTGGGGCATCCTCCCATTTAGCAGCTGTGTGACCTTGGGCAAGTCACTAACCCTCCCCTGACACTCAGTTTCCCGATCTGGGGATTAAGCGAGGTAGGGCCTGTCTAGTACAGGGCTCATACTAGCCTTGTAGACAGTCTCCTCCCCATCACTGTCCTGGAACTGCAGCCCTCCACTGGGGTCTCTGACCCAACAAACTGTGCAACATAGTGTCTTGATTTCCGAGGGAAGGCTGCTAAAAGGTCCCCTGAGAGTGAAGGGACTTGCTTAATAGGTGTATCCCTGGTCTGACGGATTCAAGTGAGGCTTCCTGCCCTCTTCCAACCTCCAACCGACGATGCAAACCTCTCCTGTATCTCCACAGTCTGTCCTTGTCTGGTATGTTCAACAGTCAGGTGTGCATCCTTCTAGAACAATAGCCGGGCTTCGCTGTGCCTTTAAACACGAGGGAGGCGTCCGTGTGGCCTTGTCCTCCCTTTTCCGTTGGTACATCGGGACACCTTTCCCAGCAGCACATACTGGCTCCCACCCCTCCTTCCAGCTGGGTCATATTCCAGTATCCAGTATTCCATATCCCACAGTGTGGGTCACCAAGCCCCGAGGCGGGCATGCCCATCCCAGTTTGTTGCCGTGACGGATATCTCATCTGCACCTTTAAACCCTTCTGCGGGTATTTCCAGAAGGTAACTCAGCTAGAAGAGGAATTGCTGGGTCCGAGGGTATGTGTTCTAAAATGTGGATGTCCTGCCAGGTGGCTCCCAGGGGCGTGGTCTGTCCTGCCGTCCCAAGCCGAGCATGCAGACAGCGAACTCGCTTACACAAGAAGAAAGGCATGAGCCTACCAAGCCAACCCTTGGCTACAATGAGTAAACAAATACTTAAGAACCAGATCCTGGGCCCAGGCCCCCTGCCAAGTGCTGGGACCACACTGAACGGGCTTCGATTCAGTCTCTGTCCTTGAGAAGCACATGGCTGAGCGGGGCAGCGGACGGGGCCTTATGCCACTCGGGCTGATTGTGCTGAGCGCTGTTAATAACTTTCGAGAACAAGGGCACTGAGGTTTGCAGATCGGGGTTTGAATTTTGCCACGTGTACTTCTGTGGCCAGGTGACCTTGGACAAATGCCTGAACGTCTCCGAGTCTCAGACCCCGTGCCCTCCTCGCTGCTTCCACCAGGCATTCTCTCCAGGTCACATTCCTATTCTCCCATGCCTGAGTCACTTTCAGAAGTCTGGAGTCAGAGAGACTTAGAGGTGCCCAAACATGGACTAAAATACCCTCATGAGGCCTTCGGGATCTGAAGGCATTTGTAGTAGAAACTCTTCCGTCAGCCTTCTCGGTTTCCATCCGCGTCTTCGTTCATCAGCAAATACTTCCGTTGGCCCTTCTCCGAGCAGGCCCTGTGCTAGACCCTGAGGCCATGGCAGTCCCAAGGCCTCATCCCTGCCCCGCCAGTCTGGATGGGGGTGAGTGGACAGACTCAGTAGAGCAGGGGTGGCCTATTGTGCCCACCTCCTGGGCTGACCACGCTTCAGTCCCAGACCTGGAAACCCCTGGGTTTCAGAAAGCCCTGCTCACCCCCGCCCCACCTCCAGTCAGGATCGCTGAGAACGCCATGCGCTGCTGCAGGCCTCGGGCAGGAACGGCAGTGGGATGGCCTGGTTCTGAGTTGCCATTGACCTTCAGACACCGCCAGGTCGCGGCTGCTCCTCCTCGCAGTATCGGGTGGGTCTCTGGAACTTGGTGTGTGTGCGGGGGGAGAGATAGTGCATCACTGGAAAAGACCCGACATATTTTTAGATAGAAAAATGCATCGTGCTTTCTGCGACAACCCAGTAGGTGATTCGGAAATGTGCGGTATGTATGGTCAGAAATAAACCGACAGGATTACGGGTGAAGGGCGTTTGGCCTGCTCGGTGGGCCTTTCCCCGGAAGTACAGTAACCTCCGTGTGCAGGTGAGGGGAAGAGCG